GTATACAAAGCTAACTGTACTCAGAGGCCCAGCGACATGGAAAATTTAATGTTATCCGCATAAACAAGAGTAGTTTGGCCTCCGGCATTTCCGAAGGCAGTGACCCATGCCACGCTGGTACCGTAGATTATGGGCTCCATTCTTATAAGAATTGATTACAAGTCGTTCAACAGTCGCGTTTGTCCTCCATGAACTCCAATCGAAATCCATTAGTGTGTCTAAAGTATAAATAACATAATTTGCAGATTTTCAATTCATAACGACTCGACAAATTATATATACGATCTCGAAACTTTATTATGCAGTGCAATACATGTGCACTGCCATTCTACGGTAAGATCCTATGGCGCAGTGTGGCGCAATGAAGATACAGATAAATAGGGATTTTTTCGTGTAACGATGTATGGACTTGGCTAGATCAATTATGCATTACACTCAAAATGTATCATCGTGAAATATTTGAGTTCTCTACGTTCTACAATTAATTTGTGATGTTAAACATCCGACAGCACCATCCCTCGAAGTAATGACTACTTTTAGTCATACCATATTCAGTAGTGGATCGGTGCAAACGACGGAAAATTTACTTACTTGCCACATCTTGTCCGTAAGTTGACGAAGGTGTCCTTGCCGTTTAGGACACTACTTGCAGGATACTCCCAGTATCTAACTGGTTCGTCCTGCGAGTAGTTGTATCATTTCTGATTCCATTTCGATTCGTTCGCTCATTTAGTCCGGGCAGCGTATCCAGGTCAGATTTTGGGGGGGGGGGAGGCAAGAGGGGCGTTTTCAAAAATAGAGGTCCAATATTGTTCGTCCATCAACGAAATTCCCTGCAGCGGCGTTTCAAACGTTTGGCACTATCCATTAAAAAAAAAAGACAACACGTCTCAAAATTTGCCCGTTTCCCCCAGCTATGGATACGCCGCCGTCTTTCCCACTCTAAAGGTCAATATTGACCACACATCTAGCCTACCATGATTTACTCACAGCAAGACTTGAAGAAAGCTATGAACTTGCAATATGCAGAAACCCGACACCCCCTGCATTGATTGTTCGAGCCTGCGCAAGAACACCTGCATTTTAATGAATTTGACCCAGGTAACAACGCTTTTTTCCACCCGTAGAAGCGGTACAACCGTATTCCTATGAGGTACTCCTCCTCAATGCTCTTCGGGTTCATTACATGTCTCCTCAGTGTGCATCCAGAAACATATTCTCGCTGTCGGCATGACGTCACTACGGCCTGTTAACGCACCACAAGGGCGGAAAAATACCCCTTCGCGCCGTTGCACGCTATGGAGAAATGCAACGAAGTTCCCGGATGTAGGATGCATGATGCCCGATTTTACCGTCGTTGTTTATTATAAGGACAGTTTTCATGCTTCGCAAAAATCACTCAGGAGTCCAATGCCTTGAACAGAAGTTTTTTATCATTGCAAACGCACGACATGGCAGTAGCATTGGAAGCGAAAGGGAGCCTGAACATAACTTTTATGAGTAAAATCCACACGGGGCCTTGTAATAATCATATGTTATGCCTGGAAAAATTTGGCGGAATTTCCTGAAATAGTCCAGCAAATTTCCCCAACGGAAAACATACAGGAACAACCTCCGGATTTCCTCCCGGCGAATTCGATGCCAGCAATTTGATCTGAGCACGTAGATGCCGTGGCTGCGTACAACGCACAGACGCTGCAAGGGACATAGCAATATCATCACATTTTAACGCTTCCAGAATGCAGGACGGGTGGATCGCGATGCGGACCTCCGAACTCGACTTTACATTATGTGCTACTGAAGAGCACATTCTAAATGAGCTCGCGATGGCAATATTGAGAATATGTAATGAGCAAACGGTGGGTTGAAAATAAATACTCCCATACTAAGTCTTGTCCCCGCTGTAGAGACAGCCCTTAAAACGAAAACATAGGGTTAACAGAATAGAATTCACTGTCGGCTAATACGAAGCGCCTTTTTAATTTATTACGTGCAGGTAAAAATTTTTGGTCCGGTTGTAGGTGCATGTGCTACGCAGGCTCTTGAGGTAGGACGATGTACAAATCTCAAAGTTCAAGTTCTTCAGAAGTTGTGCACATATTACCCTTTACCATCGACTTTTACGCATTGGAGCAGAGGCGCTGGTCAAGTGCGGCAAAGCTGTATTCAAATTCAGCGCAAAAAAGAGGAAATCTGGTAATTCTTACCTAGAAAATCCTGGTATGCAGATAAAGTGCCAGTTCGTATTTTCAACCGCGTTCCAGGTCTGTAGAGTCCACACGTATTATACTCCCAACATGCAGTGAACGACGATCGACGCGTCACTCACATTTTTAGCTCACCACCGTCCGCCTGCGATCAGTGTCCACACTGAATATGCAGATTTCCTGGGCGCGCGCCGTCCAATCAGCGACAAAGTGATAGATACACAACCCTGTAGATCTTCTGTTTAAAGTGTTATCACTAATATGTTGTATCACAAGCTGTGAGAATCTTCGGAAACACATTGAAACGTGACAGGGTAAGGTTCAAATCCGGCGCATGGAAATCCAGCCCATGGAAATGAACATGCAATCTTTGCCCCCCCCCGCCATAAACCTAGGGCTCTTTCGCCACACCACAGGGAGAGGGTAAAAGTCACAATATATCGCTCCCGTAAATTAAAGATTCGCCCACGACCGGTGTAACGTGCAGCACAGCGGTGAAGAGACTTACAGAGATACATGTAGTAAGTTACGTTAGCCTTAAATCTTTAAAAAAAAATGTGTTTAAGTGAACTATACACGCACGCCAGATCACACCGAACATTAGCTCATGCATTAAAAACTCTTTCAGATGTGATTTCCGTTTAGTGTTGTCCTTTACTCCCGCATCTGAACTCCTTCCTGGGTTTCCTCAACATGGATTTGCTGATTGGGATGAATATTCATGCTCCAATCCACAGAGTGAGATGAATAATAATTCCTGCGTTTCCTGAAACAGCCGACCTCCGTAGTGGACCCCATAGAGGGTAACATGTTCACAATGTTTGTTTTGCGTCGATCTATCGATCTCAATTGTTCCGTCACCTGGACAACACGCGGGACGCCAACAACAAAATGGTAAGCCCCTTGGCGACCCCTCGTAGCGAGTCAACTTTGGTCCTTTCGTTGACGGGTATCCAATGGGTCTTAATTCTAAATTGACAATGGTGCTTGTAACAAGTACAACTACTGCTCAGTGTTGAGTCACGATCAGGCAGGCAATTTTGCAAGACTGGTGTTCTTAAAACCGAGATATAATATGAAAAATAACAAAACAAAAACTATCAAAGTTTACGCTCCAAGTCGTTTTATTCTTTGCTTTCCAATACTGATAATACAAAGTCCGTCATAAAAAGGAAATTTGTTATAAAGGTGTTCAAAGTGAAAAAAAAAAAGTTGAAAAAACATTCTATTCATCGGGGTGGGGATTCCTTTATGGATAGCAAAATTCCACAGTCCCCACCCAACACCTGGATACACCAATGGCCATTACAGAAAACTCAGGAAAACATCTCATCACGTCATAAGTCTTTCCAAACCAACAGTCCCTTGTTACTTGTGATTAAGTACATGTATGTGATAGGGTTTTGTGATGCACGCAGACTTAACTCTGTAAATGAAGTCATCCTTTCATTTGGTTGTCTTTGTTCCTAGCAGACTTGGCAAGCAATGCTGAGGAGCCCTGAATTCAGAAACACTCTCAGATAAACTTCAAAGAGAAATTATCCAGGCTCTTGTAAGCCATCCTCGTCGGTGTCTAAGAGAATGGGGTCTTCCAATTAGGCAGGGGACTACAGATTTAGTGCAAGTGATTCGAGATAATTATGTGAAAGGCTGGGGTATTCCAGGCAGTTTAAGCAGACCAAATTGATAACCATGTTAATATATAGCTGTAGTCAATTTCTCTTAAAAAACAATCCTTCTACCTTGCATTCGTCTTCAATGTAAGGAAGATCTTTTATGTTCGTGTCAGCTTAAATGCATTGAAAAAAAACCCCCTTTTAAACACTTAAGATTATCCATGCTTTCCTGGACAACTGAGAACCTTGTTGCTGTGATATCATCCACGGAAGACATAGTTCAGTGCATAAGTTTTTCTGTCGAAATTGTGCATCTATATTTCACTTACTGAAAACACTGATTGCTATTCACATTAATCACAATGAATCCGTAAGGAGAGAAAATTTAGTCCAGCAAAAGCTACAAAAAGGCAGGACTTTTGTACAAACCAATGTAACACCGAGGTCGTCTTCCTGGGATGACATGACACTGTTTCGCTCATGAATAAGGAAATCTCATCACAAAAACCAAAAGCTAGTAAATTGTGAAACAAAAGTTACAAAATGAGATTAACTGAGAAACAAAGGTGCTTTTGGAAGATCTGCATTTCACCAGATTGATTGCAGCTACTCTTTCACTGACATACATATTTGTCTGTTTTTTACATCTGTCAAATAGGATGCCGGTATTTTTATGGGCTTTAAATTTGAACAAAACCTGACTGAAACAATTATCCCAAAATGGACTGATTAATCAGTTCAGTCATTTGTGTGAGTTCACTGAAGAATTGATGTTTAGGCTCATGACATAATTCAAGCAAGCCCAATTAACCCTAACAGTCCCAAATCCTCCGCTTTCAATATGATTTTACATACACCCTAGGGGGTTAGGGTTAATAAGATAGTTAAACTGGCAATGCATGTTGGTGGGTTCCTCTTTCAGCTGAACTTCCACCATGAATGGCTAGGATAAACCAAGCAGTATTTGCAGGCTGCACAATTGGCTTACTCTTTTTATATAAACTCTGTCCACATTGGTTTCAGAATTAAGAGTTTGATTACTGCCCTCTTGTCAGCCCTTGCGGGCTAGGCTGATGGTCTTCACTGCATGGTTGTGCCTGGCAGAATGGCATTGGGTGCATCAGTTTTACACAAGTCACAACTCAACAAATGACGACATTGTGCTTTTGTACCAGGCAGCAGACACCTTGTCTGTTTAGCTGTCCACTTTGGTAATCTGCCCGAACCAGCCACACAGACATATCAACAGCCTACTTCAAGTACAGTCTTTTGAGAACTTGTATCTCACCAAGTTGATCCATTTTTTCAACAGGTCTACGAGGGAAATACAGACTTTTCCTTCACTGCAACGATCATTCAGTCATGTCAGACTGTGACTGCACCAATCCAAGGAAGTGAGCCATTCACTCAAGCTAGCTGAACTTTCTGGCTGGCAGTTCAGACTTTCCATTCCAGACAGTAAATACCGAGTTTGAGCTGACGGCATTCCCGGAACTGCCTGTTCAATAATCCATCCATTCTTTCATGTAGACACATGTGGAAGGTGATATTGAACCTCCATCGTAACACTGGTTGAACACCTGCATGTGCAGGGAAAAAAAAAAAAGAGAAGAGAAGTGATGTTTGATTACCATAACTCTTTCCCGTTTTTAAAACCTTTTTTCTCCCAAATCAAACAGTGTACAGTAAACCAATGACACATTTGCTCTAGCCATACAAACAACTGAGACATCAAACCCCATGTAACATAATGGTAGCAGTAAAACCGAATGGCAAGTCATACACAGCCACCAGAATATCACCAAACCAGGCGCTGGGATTCAGGGGAAGAAGGAGTATCCTTACACACAATACCTGACCTGCAATGCATAACTCCATGCTGAACAATGGATACATGCTTTCCAGTTATGGTGCAGAGACAAAGACTCCTGCATGCATGAAACTGCTGCACTCGAGTCTACATCATGAAAGGAAGTCATTTTTCACCACAGACACTCTACAGGGAAGTAAACAAGTATACGTATTCCAAACACTTAGTTGCCATTACATGTATTTATGGACCATGTGAAAAACCTTGTTAAGTACATTAGCAAAAAGAAAGCAAAAACTTGTAATTCAACCCAAAATGTTGTGTCATACTCCTTAATACAAATACAGTCTTTGCATAGGGTAGGTTTTTACCAGCTTTCCCTTGTTTATTTGTCACATTAGTTCCAAGTTTGTGATTGCCCTCCTATACTTGTGTAGAAAGCTGGAGAGTGAGGGTCAATATTCCAATGAAATGATACCCCCCCCTTTGTATATGGTTTTAAAAATAATATTTTGACTAAATGGAAATATCTATCTGATGTTTAGTCTACCAACGTGAAAAGCTTGAATTTCAAGGACTTCGGGGAAATATATAACGTGTCAAATAATCCTATGAATTCAGAGAAGAGCGTGATAAAGATAATTTAAAAAAACAACAAAATAATAAAAAAAATGATGCTTTGCATGTATAAAAAAAGTACTGTACATACACATTACCGAGACTCATATCACTGATTACAATTTGTGCAATTGTGTGGTCAACGGAGGACAAAAAAAGTTCAAAATCCACTGAAGAGTTTGATTTATCTTATCGTTCAAGTTCAAAAGATTAAAGTTCAACGAAATTCCCAACCGCTGCTGCAGCCAAATCAAATATCTGCAACAGCGGTGTGCACATAATAAGGTGTCCATGGCAACTGTATTTGATCAGCTTTTTTTTCAGAGGACATGACAAATGCTCTTTCAGTGCACTCCAGGGAGCTGAAAGAACATGAATCTCATTACACACAAGAGGCTCTGAGTCACATTCAGGTGTGTGTGTATGTGTTTATGCAAGACAAATTCATTTCAGACAGAATTATTTCAAAGCACTGATAAATGTCCACATACCACTGTGGCTGAAAGGTTTACGTGTACATGTACACACACTTAAACTTGTAAATGTTGCATAACAATTTGAAGACTGTAGTGATTCCCGGAAACTATGTTTTTTCTGTTCCAGATCAGCCAGCACATCCACTTTTATATTTACCTGAATCTGAAAATACAGTATTGAGGCAAATGTACAGTAGATTGAAGGAAAATGCCGAAGGAAAATTGTTGCTAGGTATAGAAAAAGTCCCAGAACTTGTACTTAAACAAAGTTGAAGTGTATGTAAACTGTGGGCAAGGTACATTTATTATGTCAATCAACAACACAACTCAAATCTGCTCAAGTTGAGGGGGGGGCTTAATCGTAATCTTAGCTCCACTCTCCAGCTTTGATATTCAGAGTCTGAGTTGCGGCCCTCAGGATAAAAGGGCAACTCCACATCCTCGTCCCGATTTACATGTCAAGGTTTTGAAAAATAATTCCAGCAGCCATGCAAGATGAAGCCGTAGCAAGAGTGAAAGCAGGGATTTTAAACCTGGCCCTGGCTTCCTGGTGTACTTTTGATCGATCGTGCGCTGTATCCCTCACATAAGGAGACTAATGTAACACAGACGGCACAATTGGTTTCAAGGCAGTACTTCATGCAGGAGATCAAAGAAGCTTCCTATACGTGTAACAAAATGGACGGATTTAAGCCCATCATAATTTCAGCTTTAATTTACGTACAGTACCCTTCAGCTTTTGGATTCCAGTATTGTGAGCATATTCATTCAATATTGTACTAGCTGTTTCACATTTTTGGAAGAGCAAAATTGACAAGAAAAATGTCGACGGCCCAGCACACATTGATTTTCGTCCCTTTGTGGTTAGCCAAGACGTTGGGTAAGCAAAGGTCAGGGCTTATCAACTGTGGGCTGGAACAGATTCAAGAGCCTGTCTACCAAGAAAAGCTGCCATGCCTGAGGGCCAAAATTCAATATTCATTTCTGTCAGGCAGGCCTACATGTAAAGAGAAAATGAATCACAGTATACTATACATGTACATGTAAATAAGGTTCGCAGTGGCATATGATAATGTGCAGTCCTAATAAAGTACATGTACTTGACAGCATCTTTTTTAATTAAAACAAACAGGCAAACTGTGGCAAATGACCTTGGCCTTATGTGCATCTTTTCTGATTTAAGACTTCTTTCACTTAATCTGTTTGCTACTTGACCCTAAAAGAGCAGGAGGAGGGCTAATCCCCCCCACCAGTTTCTTTGTTATGTCATCACAGCGCCATCTTCTTCTCATGCCAAGCCTTTGGGAGTGTTTCCAATTATGTCTTGTGGTCATTTTACCTTCAATGTCATGAAACTGGGAAATGCTGTTTTCACAAGATGCTAATTTTTCTTCAACAGAGTTATTAATAACTGTTTATCACTGATGTGCCCAAAGCACTCCAAAAAAGACATATGGGAACATAAACCTCAAATGGCTCTAAAATAAATCACCAACCGACCTGAAACTTCACAAATGTACTTATAATGAGCATGTTTACATGCTTGCCAAGCTTCAAAGAGAATGGGCATGGGGCAGCTGAGTTCTGAGGATGGAATCTACTCCCCTGGCTGTGAGATGGTCCCATTAAAAAAAGCCAGCTGTTTTACCATTAATATTTACATCACCTTAAAGTCTAAAGGCTCTCAGGAAATGATAACTTGCATGTCTAACATAAAAAAAGCTGTCAGGGTTTATTTGTGTACATGCAAGATTTTTTAAAAAAGATTTTGTTCCCACGCACGAGTAACCACTTCTGCCGACACAGTTACTCATAATGCCGTTTCTGAGTCACTTCACATTTTAGTGAATGATGGCAAACCTGACCCAATTCATTCTGTAGAAAGCAGAGAAAGACATCAATCTACCAGAACTAGTCAGTTCAGGTATGCACTCACGTGCATCCAGCCAGATACAAATAGCCCCATTTTTGTTAACTGTTATCATATCAAGTCATCTTGAGGTGGATGCCATTTTCATCACTGTAATTTCCTCTTTGGGGCCGGGGAAATCAGCCACTTTTTCAAGAAATAAAAAGTGATATGTAATAATTGCTTACAGCTTACAAAAGACAATGCTAAAAACAACAACATACAAAAACAATA